CCCCCCCCCAATCCCCCCGGTCTGGGCGGCGCCTGTCCCTCCCCTCTCGTGACAGTGCCTCCAGCAGCTGGCAACCCTAGCCGCACATGGGTCACTGGGAAGCAAGTCACAGATTAAAGCGGGAAGTTACACATTCAGCACGACGTGACACCAAGGGATTTGGATTCAAACTTTTAATAATAAATTGTGCCAGTAGAAGCTTTTCAAAGGCAATGATATATCAATAAATAATAGTTAAATTGAGTTCCTGAGAAAGAACCTACCACATGAAAGTATGTCAGCGCGGTAAATAACGGGCTTTACTACAAAATAGCGAAAATACTGAGTCACAGTACAAGCACAGCAGACTTCAGGATTTGCCATTCATACAATGTAAACCAGTACAGTTTTGTTTGTTTGTTTAGTTTAGACACTGATAAACTTGTAAGTGTTGTTGCCTAGATATACACTAAATAATGGATACGTTATGCTAAAAACTTCGAGGAAAAATATGTGGAATAATATAATGAAAAATACGATGCGTCAGGTTTTTAAAAAGCAAAAAAGAATTGAACTTTTAACTCAGATATAAATCACTTTAAATAGGAATCATACTAATTTGAAAAAAGGAATATTTGGTGTGTTTATCTATGTAGTTATATATACATCTACACTTCTAAGAAAATATGTATGGCTTCATTTTTTTTTTTATTCCAATGTCACTTTGAATAATCCTTGCTGTTTTACAAAGATTAGAAAAATGTACTGTTAAAACCCAGTTAAGTTTGATACTTCAAAGCACACGCACACACATACACACACACACACACAAATGTGGAAGAACTAAATTCCATCCTGGTAGCCATACCTCGGCTGTCCAAGACCACAGGAGGAACGACGTCACGAAACCTCTCAGTGGCAGTAGGTCGCCGCCACTGGGTTCCACGTGTCCGCGATGCCGGTGAGAGTGTCTGGACGAGCGAAACGGACACAGTCCCAGGATGAACTTAAAATTTTTGGCATGTCTAAATTAATCCCTTTTGACGTGTACGAGTTTAGTATATGACAAGTGTTGAAGTTTGCCCCCCAAGACACACACACAAAGATCGCTTCTCAGTTACACATCTGCATTTCTTTAACAAAACAGTAAGGGTTACAATCACAGCGAAGAAGTCACCCACACGATACGTTATCAGCACACTGTCTAGAACATCTCATTTAAAGATACTCAGTAAAAACATATTCACAGAACCTGCTGTGAATGGCAAGATATGGTAATTTTATAATAGAAAAACCCTGCTCATGCAGTACTCTCTACATACCAGACATCTGAAATCACACCCACATGATCACCTTGCTCACACTTTCTATTATACTATAATATGCAAAAAGCAAAAAAAAAAAAAA